GATGTCTCTTTGCATATCAAGTATGTCTCTCTTTAAGGGGAGGTGCAGAAATTAAAACATTTCAAATCTGAGCAGCATTCAGCCTCCCTTGTTTCATACTGTAGCCATGACATAATCACTCACAGTGGGTTTACAGTGCCATCTTGTCGTAAAGAGTTTCCGATGCGAACCTCCACACCATTGAGTTGCTCTGCACAGCAGTCTCCTCTGTTGGTGATGACGACCTGGGTGACTATATATGAGTCCAGCAGGTCCACTCTCCACCAGGGGTTGTTTTCAGTATCAGTGTGGGTACAAGATCCCTTTGTAAGGTCAGCATTTAGGTTTCCATCAATAGCATTGGAAGCACCTACAAATGCATTCCAAGGCTCCCCTTTGTACTGAGAAGACTGTGAAGCTTTGCCACGTAAAGCCACATTTTCTGAGAAGATCAGAGAAATTCAACGAAGAATAAATTAATCACAATATTGGTTGTTTTGCTTAAGATATTTGTGCAGTCATTAAAGAGGTCTTCCATTTGTTTGATGGTTGATAGTTTGAATGTTACTTTTCTGTCTCAGTGGCACGTACTTGCATTATAACAAGGACTATATGTAGGCATGAAACAAATATTTCGCTATTTATATAAAAACACAATGAGAAATCAGATGAAGTATTTTACTGTCTTTGCATTTTGACAGCTTCTAAATTGGCACTGATGAAGTCGTGTCCAGAAGAACTATCAATGTAATGAATAATAAGTCATGCTTTTATCAGCTTTGAAAGGAGTTGTAAAAGATTGCACTCTTATTTATTGTTTTAAAATTAAACCAAACAATCAATCTTGCATTTTCTCAAAAACACGAAGTGGAAAAACAAGCAACTAAAAATAAAACAGGACAAGACAACACATTTTTAGCCCATTTAAGGAACCCTTAATGTAAAGATTTATAAATATAAACTACATATATTTGGAAGTCAGAGTATTTAGGTTTTTGCTTACATTTAAGAAAATCCTTTCTCTAAAGAAAAACATAATTTTAAATAAGTTTAATTAGATTAACTGGCTCTGCTTATAGATTAATGTTCTATCACAAACAATGCTTATGGTCTCTAAATTTACACAAATACTTTCACATGCTACTTACGGTAAGTGTAAGCTGAGCAGATTGGCAGGAGGAGCAGCAAATGAAATAGTAAATCGTACCTCATGATTCTGACAAAAACAGAGAAAAACTGGGATTTAGAATAGTATAACTATTTTATAACATTTTATGCTATATTATAGTAAATCGTGTCCTTTTTGTGAGAATTTTTGGTAAGAATTATTTATGAGAACTGAGAAATTACCTTGATTCTTAGGTGGGTTTGCTGTTTGAGGTGAGGGATTTGCCTTTGAGCGTTTGCTAAGTCCTTCACTCATCTATTTATATCAGGTAAAACTCAGTTGTTGTCCAATCACATCTCAGAGAATTCAACTCCTAC